TGTATGCGTGCGTGTATGCATATATATTCGTGTATATATGTATATATATATATATGTATATATATATATGCATGTATGTAATGCTGCGTGGTTGGAATATTTTCCAATTCAAAGTACATTCAAAACCTACATAGCGGCGCACCAGGCTTGCTGTTAGGATGATTTTTTGCATGATTCCATCTTGTAACAGTGGCTGCCTTTACTTACGGGGTGCGACTGTGTTGTAGTTTGAACATTTGATGCGTCTGCACGCAGGATTCATGCTTAAGAAAAGCCCAAGGTAGCCTGCTTATAAGCAGCAAACATCTGCAAAAAAATACTACTTTCTACTCAGTCTGGCTAGATAGTCGGGTGCGAACAGTATCCCAAACTACGCGTTAAAAGTGCTTTTGAAATATTTCAACTACAGACAGGCACAAAAATACCTCGTAAAGCTCCAGCTCCCTAGCGTAACTGGTTAGCAAAGCCGCTTTTTGCCGCAAATATTTTAAACGTATTTAAACACGCTACACAAGCGAATACCAATGTTCATTTTATGCCTATATGCCCACGTATGGAGAACAAATATTTTCGTAAACTTACAGCGCTTTAACCGTCGTGTTTTCTGAAGTGGCATCTTGCCAACAATATCAATCTCAACTTTGATGTACCTATACATGTAACTTAAGCGTGCTTTAAAACTAAACTGAAATCTTTAGAAAAAACAGAATACCCCTGTGATCCTCTCCTACCTGGTTCTCAAAATCGCTCTGTTATCAAAAAATTTGCATGAATTCTTTTAGGCACCCGTACGTGAGATCCAGGTGTACGTTATAGCGCGTTACTTCGACGACCGAAAACTTAGAAACAATTTCAGACTGAACTGCATTAAATCTCCAAATATGCCGTTTGGGCAGGCTTAAAAATCATTTTGCAATATGGGCAAGTCCTCGGAGAAATAAATGAGTGGGATGGGCATTCTATTACTGTCACGCATTTCATCGATGTCCAGTGTCCGATGTTTCTTTGGAAAGCCATTCAAACGTGACGCCGTGTTCCGCCGACTGCCTCCACTCCGCCTTCTACTGTTGTAACTGTGTGTCTCAAAAAAAGGATCGACACGAATAAATTCCTGGAAGAGACGGTCTGTTTGCGAATCAATACTGTAATCGCGACGAAGGCAGTCAAATTTTGTTTGGCGAGCAGCTGTGGTGCATGAAAGCCCTGGAACCTGAGACCGCGATGCCACCGGGTTGAAGTAAGCATAAGGCTGCGCTTCGATTGGCTGGCTCGGTCGTGGCTCATTTCTCGACTCGCTGCAGATAAAATTATAAGGAGTTACAGTCATTTCTTTTCGTTGTGATTTTATGTACAAACGTGAAAACAGGCAGATTGATATTAGCCCAACTGCGCTTGTTTTTATGCGTTTTGTGCTGTGTAACAGCAGTACAAAACGCATATTGTTACGGGGTTGTCT